GTAAAGATCATCATCTTTGGTTGCTAGGATTTTCATTATGTTCTCCTTATTTTCTGCTTTAAAAAAGGTGACAGTTTTATTTTTTCTATCAATTTCATGGATAATATGTACTTATCATAATCAATAAGTGGCAAAGTCATTAACTGTCCTCAGGCAATCAACATATTAATAACCCTAAATGATCGTTGTTTCTTTGAAATGAAAACATTGTAAATATACTCTTTGCTATCTTGTAATACATGCTTCTGTTAACCATAGTTATTCTGCAACAGATCACCAGTGCTTACTCTTCCTACTGATCTGCAGTTTTCTACTCCTGGATCAGCTCTGTCCATCCCCTGACTCCGCACCCTCCCCTCATCAGACCCAGGTAGCCACTATCCTTTTCTTTAGTTCATGACATCAGCTTTTACATTTTACAACTGAGATCATTTGATCAAAAGACTGACATATTTCACTTTGTACAATATCCTATGACTTCACAAACAGAAGAAGAAACAAATGACCCTCCTAAAGAGTACTGACATTATAGCTATGATTCGAAGGAAGGAGACCTAGTTTTAAATGTAAAAGATAAAATCGTTGCTGCATTTGATCACATTAGTGTTTCCAATTCATTCAACCTGTTTCCTCTAACGAACAGTAAACCCAAGTATTTTGAAGACAATTTGCCAAACACACACAAAAAAAAAAATTTTAAAGAAAAACATAGTCAGCATTTCCAAAATGGCTTTTTATTCTATTCCTTAATATTCCCAACAATGGAATACATACCTCTGCTCTCTAGTTCTATCTTCTGAAAGTGGGATTTTTTTTCTACATGCATGACTATTGTTCTATCTCTTTTATCCAAATTTTTAAAAATCCACCCTGAAATTCAGGAAGATAAATATACAATCCTTCAGTGTCATTCTCCTAAAAATCTCCATCTTCACAATCTATTTTGGCTCTTTTGTCCTTATCCGGACTTTTTTTGGGGGGGGAGGTTTATTAAAATACATTTATTTATTGCAAAAATTTGAGACAGTCTCACTATACACCCCTAGCTGGCCTGAAATTCACAGAGATCTGTCTGCCTCTGCCTCCCAAGTGCTGGGATTAAATATGTGTGCCATCACACCTGGCTTAAAAGACATTTTTAAAAAATTATTTATTTAATAACCACATAATTAGAAGAAGCATTTCATTACAATAGCATTGACATATTCAATAACAATTTCCAGAGCTAAGACGCAACTCTTTCAGAATTGGCTGTAAATTTTTGGGTTTACAGTTGAATTAATACAGTTATACAATATTGTACTCAGTATAAACCTATAAGACATAAAATTGAATGAGGTTTTAACCTTTAAAAAAAATCTCCATTTCATTAAAATACACAGTTTCATACAGAAAAATTCATTCTTTTTTTTTTGGTCTTTTTGAGACAGGGTCTCCCTGTAGTCCCGGC